CTTGTTTTACATGTCAATCCCAGTTCCCTCTCCCTCCCCTGCTCCCGCACTCCCCTCCCCCCCCCCAGCCTCCCACCCTATTGCCAAATCCTTCCACATAGGGGATATCTAGAGTCTTTCATTTCACTCTGGGTAGGGACCAGGCACTCCCCTAAGCGTCCAGGCTGAGAGAGCATCCCTCTTTGTGCTATGGGCACACGATGACTGTTTGTATTCCAGGGATAGACACTGATCCACAGCTCAGGGCCCCATAGGTTGCCCAGGCTGACACTCACATTTGGGGAGTCCAGATCAGTCCTATGCTGGCCTCCCTGCTGTCAGTCTGGGGTCCAAGAGCTCTCCCCCTGTTCAGATCAGCTGTCTCTGCTGGTTTTGCCAGCCCATTCTTTGCCAATTTGCTCATCACTCCTCTCTCTGTCACTGGGTTCCTTGGGTTCAGTTCATTGCTTAATTGTGTGTTTGCCTCTGCTTCCATTAATCACTGGATGAAGGCTCCCGGATGGTTATAGACATCAAGTTCCTTATCAGGAATGCCCATTCGAGGTGATCTCTCCACTATTGCTTAGCTTGCCAATTGGTGTTATCTCTTTAGATCACTCGAGGTCACTCTGGTGCCTGATCTGTCTTCTAACCTATGATTCCCTCTTCCCCCTATTCTACCCCCACCCACTCAACTTCCTGTTTCCCCATGACCTACTCTCTCTTCCTCTTCTCCCCCTCTCTTCTTCCCAGCTCCCACTCCCCCCCACCCCTCACCGTGTTCCCCATCCATTCAGAGGATCTTTTCTCAATCCTCTTCTCTTGGGTACTATGCATATATGCATATCTTTTAGGTTCTTTCCTGTTTCCCAGACTCTCTATCAGTGGAAGAGCAGACTGGCACTATCGTGATCCATATCTAAAATCCATATATGAGTGAGTACATACCATGTTTGTCTTTTTGCGACTGGGTACCTCACTCAGGATGGTTGCTTCCAGTGCTATCCATTTACCTGCGAATTTCAATATTCCATTGTTTTTTTCTGCTGAGTAACACTCCATTGTGTAAATGTACCACATTTTCTCTATCCACTCTTCAGTTGAGGGGCATCTAGGTTGCTTCCAGGTTCTGGCTATTACAAATAATGCTGCTATAAACATAGTGGAGCAGATGCCCTTGTTGTATGAATTTGCCTCATTTGGATATATGCCTAAGTGTGGAATAGCTGGCTCTTGTGGTAGATTAATTCCCGTTTTCCTGAGGAATCTCCATACTGATTTCCAATGTGGCTGTACGAGTTGGCATCTCAGATTTCCTCCATAATAGAAACTTACATCATGAGTCATAACAGTAACAACATTAAATTTATGAAGTAGCAGGAAAAATAATTCCATAATTGAATCTCACCAAAACATGACAAATTGTATTAACATGGTCATAATATTAGGAAGGATTAAAACCACTGAACTAGATTCTATTTAAAGTTGACAGTCTGGTGCTAGGAGGAGCTAACAGTCTCTCTCACAATTAGCAAAAATTAGTGTCATAAATACAAGACCAAGAACTGCTTGCTAAGGATTCTTGCTAAGATCCATAATGGCTAGAACAAGAGCTGTGGACTCTGCAGTCCAGAGAAAAAGATAGACAGACATGGATGCTACAGTCCCCTGCAAGACAGGCAATTACCAATAGAAGAGTGATTCCTTGTTGAGCTCATTGACTCTCTCCAAGGCTTCGTTGTTCTCATTCTGTAACCTATGCAGGTCTGCCATGACGTGCTTGTGCTCCACCTGGTCATTTTCAGGGAAATTTTTGACCAATGGTAGGGCATGGACCAAGAAACAAAATGCTCCATGAACAAAGTTTTCATAGGTCACATAAATTCAGGCTGTTTTCAAGGCTATTTCAGCCCATGGAATGGCACATTCTGTCCATGTGTCCTTGGAACATCTAGTGCTTATTAAACTTGCTATCCCAACACTAGGGAAACAGAGACAGGATATTAAGTTAAAGACAGTTAAGGCTGCCTGAGTTCTTTCAAGTCTGCTGAAGTAGCTGGCTAAGTGTGTCCCTAGTCTCTACTTCACGGTCAGTGCCTGCAAAAACATGGGATAAAATTAAAATTCTCAATCCTGGTGTCTGTCAATACAGAGGCAAAAATCACACCATGAATATTTTTGTAGATAGGTTCCAGGTGTAACATCCGGGCAGCATTTAGGAGACATGGTATTAAGCAAAGGGATGCCATGAAGGTATAGATGCCTAGAAGCCCAGACCTTAGAGGAAATAAACTAAAAGTGAAATTTTGGAACCAAGCAGGTCACCGTAGCTTTGAAAACACTGAATACCTGTCATCAGGGGATCCTTTAGTGATGGAGATGAGGCAGTATCATAGCTCCTTTGATTCTCTGGCCAGTTGCTCTAGCTGTTTACACAGACTCTCCATCTTCTGCCTGTATGTCTTCTCCATCTATAGCCATGTGGTTTGAATGACATGTCAGGATAAATGGGGTTCTCAAAAATATCTGAGTGCCTGTGGACGATGCTAATTGCCTTCTAGTTTGTAAACTCACAGACTTATTAATTCTACGGGTAAGTTGAAGGGAGAGACTGCAGCTGTGAATGAGTCTGAGGAATTTCTTTCTTTCTTAACTTGAAGTATGTGTTGAGGAGGCAGAGGAAATCAGATAGCAGAGATACCCAACTTACTTCAGAGATGGGAGAGCTAAGATCCCCAGGAGGGGCATTTCAAGCATGGGTAAAAATCCATTGGTGTGCCACTGAGTCACAGGCATAGTAGTTTCCTCAATGAATTTTTAGGGCTCAGAGTGATCTATATATCCTCTAAGGCTTGACAAAATGTAATTTGACTTGTGTTCCTCTACACACAGGGGCTGCTGAAGAGCCATCAACTCCACCAAACCTCACGAAGAAGAAAGTGAAGCAAATGGAGAGGTCTTAGATCTTGGCTCAAACACTAGAGGGTACTGTTACTAGACAAGGAAGACCTTTAGTGACAGAAATTGTGGATGGAAACAGCACTTTATAATGTAATGCACAGCTTGAAAAAATTAATATTTTAGTGATGTGTGTCCATATGCATGTGTAAATGTGTGTTTACATGTGCATTTGTGTGTGTGTGTGTGTGTGTGTGTGTGTGTGTGTGTGAATGACTACAGGTTCCCTCAGGGCCTAGGGACATGGATTTTCCTGGTTTGGGCATTAAAGAGGGTAGTGAGCCACTCTGCATAAGTGTTGGGCACTGAACATGATCCTCTTAAGAGTCTTACAGTATCCATCATCAGAGATATCGCTTAGTGAACACACACTTCAAAAGCTGTGGGGGTGGAAAGTGTCTCCATTGTTGAGAGAATGCTGTGCATCCACAGACAAGCCATTTGTGACTGTACCCAGAGGGTGACATTTAGCTCAATCTTTACTCTTTTCAGAAAAATACTCACTCTGAGAGGACATTTTCCTGTGTGACTATAACTTTATGGGAGGATATGGTTCTGTATGACCACAATTTTATGGGAGGATAAATTTCTGTGTGTTTATAACTTTATGGAAGGATATGGTCCTGTGTGACTATGATTTTATGGGATGATATGTCCTTGTGTGACTTTACCTTTATTAGCAAATATGGTCCTATGTGACTATAACTTTATGGAACTATATTAGTTATATAAATATTGTTGACATGTAAAGATACAGAGAAAGCATAATTGAGAAAAAACTCTATGGAAGGAATCCTGTCTAAACAACAGTGGATCTGCAGCTACATTTAATGCAGAATCTCTTTGGTGCACATAGGTCAATGACATGTCATGGGAAGAGGAATTCTATTCATTTCCTTGGTATTCAATTTCTTCAGTTTCTGTATTTGTCTAGGAATGCAAGTTATGTGAATTTGTTTTGGTTAATATTTAGTTGCTGTTATGAAACACTATGATGCATGTAACTTACACAAGAGTTTATTTATAGTTTCAGAGGGTCAGAGTCCATGTCCATAATGGTGGGGAGCATGGGATGAGGATACAGTACTGGAGCAATGGCTGAGACCATCCATTCTGTTGACACCACCGCAGGGCAGAGAATGTGGCTCTGCTAATGACTTGAGTCCTTTGAAACCTCAAGACAAGACCACACCTCCTAACTCTTCCTAACTTTGCCATCTGGGAACCAAGTACTCAACCACATGGGCCTATAGGTACCATTATCTTCAAACCATCAGAGGGTTTATTATTATTATTACTATTTTTGAGGTGATAGAGACTGACCTCAAAGCCTCAAGTATGTGCTTCTCCAGTGAGTAACACAATATCAAGTATTTCCCAAAATACACATGTAATATAAAATTGTCATGTTTTCACTAAACTTTTATCAAGTTGAGTTATGATAAATGTTTCAAACATGAAACAAATGGCTATTTCAAGTAGTGATATTCTTTTAAACAAAAATATTCATTTATTAATTTTTTCTGTTTTTTATTTTACATTCTAACCACAGTTCTCCCATCTTTCCTCCCACTCCCCTAACTCCTTCACTTATTAATTTAAGAATCATCTGTTAGTTTTCTTTTAGGTTTATGATACCTGTCCAAGTGTAGGATAAGAAAATGGAAAAAGTTTGTCTCTTACCCCAAAGTCATCTGGTAGTGAATTGATATGTGGTGACATTCCTTGCTTGTGTGATTTTTCCAGTGGATTACCACATAGACCATACACAAGAAACTTAGAAATGGCATGGAATGCAGTTCCTAGATCAGACAATGTAAAAGTTCAAATATTTTAATCACAACTATTCTTCAGAATTACAGAAGCACTGTTCAAAGGATATCAGGTGTCTTAGACAAATGAAAGATCCAAGAGCGGCACTACATCTCTGACTGTGAGAATGTAGGTCAACAATCTTCTGAGGTTAGCAAATTGCCTAAAATGGGGGTGGGAGAGGATGCATCTACCTAACACATACACATTTCCTGTTTAACTCTCAGCTCAAACTCATCCTTTCACTATGACATTAACCTTTCCAAATAAAGAAATGAAGATTCACATACCCAAGTGGCTCAGAAAATGAACTCTTCTCTGGGACTAGTGATGCTACTCCTATTAGTATTTGGTAAGTGGAATAACACATGGAGTTTCTATCTTGTTGTATGATATAGATGTAAATTTTAAGGTCAGTTTTTCCTATGAGACAGAATACAGGCCATCACCAAGGTGACCGACACTGAATTGTTATTAATTTCCCTCCTTAGGAGAAAGCAATGAAGACTCCGTGACTCAGTCAGAAGGTCAAGTGACACTCTCTGAAGGGACTCCTCTGACTGTGAACTGTTCCTATGAAACCCAACAGTACCCAGCCCTGTTCTGGTACGTGCAGTATCCCAGAGAAGGTCCACAGCTCCTATTCAGAGTCTCGAAGGCCAATGAGAAGGGAAGCAGCAGAGGTTTTGAAGCTACATATGATAGAGGATCCAGTTCTTTCCACTTGCAGAAAGCCTCGGTCCAAGAGTCAGACTCTGCTGTGTACTACTGTGCTCTGAGTGGCACAGTGTCAGAAACCACAGGGGGACCTGAGCACAAACTCTGAGAAGCAGATCATGCCTGCTGAGTGTGTCTGACACCTCTCATTTAGGGACCAGGGGCAAGTCTGCTATTGTTGCTGATAACTGCACACACAGGCACTGCTGCAGTGTAATCCATGAAAATTAACACATATTAGAAGAACAGAAAGTGAGCCTGCC